AACAGGCAAATTCCGTAAGTGGCATCAAAATTGAGCTATGAAGTTGCAGTTTTAACGAAAATTCTTTAAAAATTACGCACTTTTAGGAAATGACCATGTTTTTAATGTCGCATTAATTTTAACATGCATTATTGCCAAATTTCCGATTTTTAAATTCGACAAATGTTACATATCCGCAAATACCCAAAAAGGCTATCTTCAAATTTGAATAAAAAGTTGTCTAATCGATAGTTCGTTCGATTCCGCATCCATCGATATATTATAGCTTGCTGGGAAACTTTTGGTTCGCGAGATATCATCATTTTTGTGAACAGCTTTATGGAGCGACGACGCTTTTTGAGTCCGGGCGGATAGAAATTTTAGCCTCCAAAAACACCGGGTAGCATTAATTCCATGGTTTCCTATGTAATTTTTGGCGCTGAATCCGAATTTGACCATTTCATAAAAAATTTGTCACCAAGATGTTGCCAAATTTGGCAAAAATTGCTTAAAATCGGCCTTTTTGGCGGATTATAGCCTGTGACTTGCCAGGAGTTGATCAGACGACAAAATTGGTTATTTCCACAGTTAAATCTCGTTAAACTATCTACAAGCTGAGTCAAATTCTTTCTGCTCACGGTAAAATTAAACGCGCGACAAGCAGCAAACTGAAAAAAAGACACCAAAATTGGCGCTTTTTGCGGTTTTTGTCGTAAGTTTCTTGTTTTCCGATTAAGAGAATGTTTCTTGACTATACTAATGAACAACTTGAGCAGAGTTTAATAAAATTGAACAATAAAATAAGATCGAACATATTCCAATGTTGCCAAGCTTAAACAAAATACTTTAATTTCCGCTGGTTTTTTCTATATTATTGTCCTATATTCTTTGTTCACCTCTTATTTTTAAATTTTATAAATGTATCTCTCTTGCAAAATAATACACTTCTGTAGAATAATTTAATTTTCAACTTAGATATATACTAATAACTAGGGTATTTAGTTCAGAGAGGAAAAATTCATAAAATAGTGAGTTTTATCGAATCGTGTCAATAAACCACATTTTGAAACAATAATGGAAAATTTTCTGCTAAGAATTAATGAATAAAATGTACTCCTCAGACTGACTTCATTAAAACAAGACAAGACGCATTGCAATATTGCCAAAATTACGTACAAATCGTTGAATTTTGGCGGTATTTGACCGTTATTATTCATTACCCTATATTTAGTATACAATTTTATTTTATAATTCTGAGATAATGGAGTTTAATAGAAAAAAGTAACGACACCAAACTGAAGAAGACGCCCAGGAAAGGACAATAAGGGGCTTAAAAAGGAACAAGGGCGCTCCAAATTACTGAGGACCTGTGGGTGGACAAGGGACTATAGCGGTTAGGCGTCGCGGGGCCCGAGAGACCGCTGTTAAAGCGGCTCTTTATCTATATATTATGTAACAATACAATAGTTTGTCGTTACACTCGGCGTGATTCAGATTTTCCTAAGAAACATTCTCTTAATCGGAAAACAAGAAACTTACGACAAAAACCGCAAAAAGCGCCAATTTTGGTGTCTTTTTTTCAGTTTGCTGCTTGTCGCGCGTTTAATTTTACCGTGAGCAGAAAGAATTTGACTCAGCTTGTAGATAGTTTAACGAGATTTAACTGTGGAAATAACCAATTTTGTCGTCTGATCAACTCCTGGCAAGTCACAGGCTATAATCCGCCAAAAAGGCCGATTTTAAGCAATTTTTGCCAAATTTGGCAACATCTTGGTGACAAATTTTTTATGAAATGGTCAAATTCGGATTCAGCGCCAAAAATTACATAGGAAACCATGGAATTAATGCTACCCGGTGTTTTTGGAGGCTAAAATTTCTATCCGCCCGGACTCAAAAAGCGTCGTCGCTCCATAAAGCTGTTCACAAAAATGATGATATCTCGCGAACCAAAAGTTTCCCAGCAAGTTATAATATATCGATGGATGCGGAATCGAACGAACTATCGATTAGACAATTTTTTATTCAAATTTGAAGATAGCCTTTTTGGGTATTTGCGGATATGTAACATTTGTCGAATTTAAAAATCGGAAATTTGGCAATAATGCATGTTAAAATTAATGCGACATTAAAAACATGGTCATTTCCTAAAAGTGCGTAATTTTTAAAGAATTTTCGTTAAAACTGCAACTTCATAGCTCAATTTTGATGCCACTTACGGAATTTGCCTGTTTTCAACTTGGCAACGCTGTAACGCGCGGGAAAAATTTCGGGTGAACTTGCCAATGCCGGAAAAAGGCGTGTCTTGTGATAGGGAACAACATATCCAACTCCGGGCAAAATCCAAGCGTAGGGTAAAATCGCCGATTTTGAATAACCCTCATTTGTGTATGTCGGGTAGACACGCAGATGACGTAGGTCAAAAGGCGGTGCTTGATTGGTTAACTATGTCTTATCGCTGCTTTGTCGTGCCTATGTCGGGTAGTTATTGGTAATTATTTAATCTTCCATGAATTAAGCCTTTGTAGCTGTTTTTAATCCAGCTCGACTTATACATGATTGAAAGCGAGCTTTTTCTTGTTGCTTGTTTTTGTATTTCAATGTTGCGATCGCTATTCTGTGCAGGGTATTCTTTTCTTGATGTCTCTCTGTTCATCAAATGATTTGTGCAACGAGTCGTATTGGTTTCGCCCGTTTGAAACTGTAATTGAAGAACAAATACTTGAGACTTCAATGTATTTAGGGTTTCACCTCTAATTTTGATAGTGTGTGCTGGAACCAGCTCATTTGATGCTATGATCAAAGTCTCTCAAAGCAAGCCCAATTACTATTTCAAAACGTTGGGCTTGTCGCATAACAGTCAGGACTTCAGGAGACAGATGGGTGGAACTAAGAAAGGGTTAGAATTAGTTTACGTCGCAAGGTAAATGAAGACTTGCCGACTCTGAAAGCTTGTTTTCGAGCAAACGAGCAAAATCTGGATAAAAAAGATTAAAAACCTCTCCGCGAAGGTGAAATCTGTTGTCAGGTTTGCTGAAATTCCTGTTTCCTCTCCTGCAAAATGTTTTGTGCCAAAAGCTGTCGTCACAAAATAATTGTTTCTCTGTCGGCTCTCTTTCTGCTTTAGATTGTACATGAAGTTTCTTTACAAATGCTTAACAGAAATAATTCATTATGCCGAGTTTTCCTAAGTTTTTTTTTTTCTTTAATTAACTGAAAACGGCACCTCATAAAATTGGAAAAAATACCCACGACTCGAGCCATTTTCGACATGACAGATGTTTTATCGAAGAACCTAAATAACTAATTCGGTGTAAATAAAGGTCCATCCTTATGAAGTATACTTGATTCTCTATGAACCATATCTGTCGTTAGATTTTATATAGTTCGAATGTCTGCGTAAGCACTCGGTCTTTGAGGAAGTCTTAATTAAAAAAAAAAAAAAATACAGACCGTATGGAGTTTGCAAGAGGTCCAATTTTTCTCATTCAGCCGCATATATTACGAAAAATTTAGCTATTTTTCTGCATTTGTTTCCCTTTTTGAAACATCGAAAATGATAATTTACAACTTGGGCTGCCCTCTTCCTTTTTTTTACGTGAGTAGCTCACTCCAGTCCAGTCGGACGTCATTTTGCAATAACGAACTTAAATTTTTAGCACACCCTTAAAATCGCCTTCCATATTCGGAAACTGATACCACTTATTTTGTTCATGAATTAAGCAAGAAAGCGTAGTTTTTAGATGCAAAATGTGGTCCAATTTGGCAGACACAGACGGAGGGAGGTTAGTAACTCGTTCATCTTCCCGCACCGGTGCGAAACCTTTGAAAAACGATGTTTGCTCTTCAAGAATTACATCTGTCAACTCGGTCTCTCCTCAAGTCACCCTCCTCAAAGCCTCTTTATCGTTTCATCCGATTAGTTAAAAGTCGGCACTCATCGCTTTCCAGCGCTCAAATGGCGTCTCCCCAAGAAAATGAGGTCAATTTCTATTCCCTCGACCCTGTCCGTTTGCTCGCTTTCTGTTGATTTTCATTAATTCGCATTCTTCTCTCCTTACTCACCTCGGTTCATTTCCAAGGATGTTGACGTGCGTCAAAGCCGACTCGAAGTTAAGGCCCATTAATTCTTCATTCCGATCAATCTAAAAACAGCGTGGCAAGTTCTTGACAAGTCATTGAAAACCTGGAAAAGTCAGGGAATTTTGCCTATCCTTAAACAGTCCGGTGAAAGACAGGAAATCTCACTCCGGAGCCCTGAAATTATTTTCTCCGGTCGAAATAATTAAATATTTTATCCCGGACCCACACATTTTTTCCTTCCAAAGGTCAAAATCTGTATTCTAATAAAATAAAATTAAAAATTCAACGAGTAAAACATTTAAGGTAGTTAATAGTTAAAAGAACATAATAAAAGCAAAGCAATTATTTTTTTCTGCAACTTTCTGTCTGCACCTATCATTGTTCCATCCGTATGATCATCAAGTGAAGTATCTGCCCCAAGTTCTCAAATTTTGAATTTTGTAATCTCAAGGGAGTAGGTTTCCAAAAAATGTCGCGAAAAGCATTTTCATGAGAAATCATGTCAAAATAAACGTTAAAAAGTCATGGAAAATTCAGAGAACCTCGTGTTCATAAACCTTGAAGAGTCATGAAAAAGTCTGGGATTTTCAAAAGCCAGGGGAACTTGTCACCCTGAAAGGTGAATATTCAGCGTTACAAGATTTTTACAGCGTTACTGGAAAACCGTTGTCAGTAGAGTCGCCATATTTCGGCGTACAGTACATTTCGTAAAAATTGGTTGTGCGTCGACAACCGTTTCCTCAGTGTAAAAAAATAAAGTCATCTCTTTGCACCTTGTTCTCTCAGTGTGTGAGAAAAACCACCACTACCATGGCACGACGAAGATCTGACTTCGAAATTGGAGATTATTTTGATGTTTTGAAATTCCAACAATGTATTTCTAGGATGAACGCTGTGTAAAAGTCTCATTTTTTAAAAAATGTTGTTTTTCTCTGTCACAGGTCATCTTGGTGCCACATTCTCACAACGATCCAGGATGGTTGAAAACTTTTGAAGGATATTATCATTCGACCACCAAACACATCCTGAACTACATGGCAGAGAAACTAACTTCTATGCCCAATATGACCTTTATATGGTCAGAGGTCTCATTTTTAGCCCAGTGGTGGGACAGGTAAGGAATTTTTTTAAATAAATCTACTCACTTTGCACCATGAAAAACAGAATTTCGAGCTTTGTATCGGAAAAAAATTATGGAAATTTAATGCTTGTTCGTTTATTTTCTCTCTATTGTAGAAGAGAGCATGGGTGTGTAACGTGCCTTTACAACTTTCACAATGTTTGTATTGTGTTCTCACACCTTATTACAATTTTTCACTAGTTTCTCGCCGATATCTCGCGGTGATGACGTTTGGCATCACACGTTTGATCTTTCTTTTAATGATATTTTATCTAATTTTCATTTCTGCTAGTGCAACACTCAGTCTCTGTACTCCTGCATTAACCGTTTCCCTTCGCAATCTCACTCGTATTTTCAAAGTTACCTAACTGCGAACAGGAACTTTCATTTAGGATTTTTTGCGGGACGCGCCATAAACCCAAGGAGATTGAAAGATCATGAGTACGATAGGGAAAAAGTGGACGGGGGAAAAGCAAAGGGACGAAAGCATAAAAGTTTTTTTCCCCCTTTTCCACCTTTTTTCAGTTAAATGTAGAATCCCTGCTTACGGTCTCCGAGTTTCGTTTCTCGATAAAATCTAGCGACAAGACCTCGGATTAAAAAAGGGAATGCTCGTGTAACTGAAATTTTGCATTTTTTATACCTTGTTAGATCTTATCCAACCTTGCGTTAAAAGTTCACGAGTTACTTTTGTGCAACAGTCGACTTTTCCCTCTTCAAATGTCCTCAGTTGCTCTTCTTAAATAATACCGCTTCTGCAGTGTAACAAAGAAGAAAAAAAGATCTAAGCGGGAGGGGGCTGGAAAAGCTGAAAAAGCGGAGTCTTTCATTTTAAGTAATTATCTTTTCACGTTATTATTTTTTAAATCTTCTAACGCCGCTCTTGAGCTCTTTTTGCCAAAAATGTCATTATTAAATTGGTTTCCTATCGGAAAAAACGACTCAAAGGCTGGGTCCTATTATGGCACCGCCTATATTTTGGGTAGGAACTAGCCTAGCCCTCAGAGCACACGGCACTGATCCGAGTAGGGATTGGGCTTACCCAAAATCTAGATGATGCATTTGACCCACCTCTCTACGCATAATAACTAAACTATTTTCTCTGTGCCATTTATTACTTTTAAAGTGTTTTTGTTCCGTAACACTATCGATTATATTTTGCATAATCCAGGAAAAATTCACAGAAGTTTCGTGGCATTACAATACATAGTTCTCGATCGTCTAGAAAATCGGCAGTTAGTGGTTGCCGTAATAAATAAGGAAAAATCAAGGAATTCTCAACAAAAAAAAAGTCAGGGAATTTTGTGAGTAGTGGGTCGGCAACTTCAGCTGATGCCATTCGGGACAGCCCGTTAAACTTTCGAATGTTTTTGCCTAAAATTTAAATCTCCGCAAGTTGCGATTTCGGCCGAAGTTTAGCAAAAGTCAGTATTTTTCTAGAAGAAGTAAAGAGAAAGAGGGAGAAAGAATTAGAATTTCAGTGCAAGTCAAGAAATATGAAACATTTGGAAGAAGGTAAAGGAAATAGAAAAAGTCAGTATGACCGAAAATTTGAAAAGGAGGAAATTATGGGAACCTTGGATTGTTTTATCCTGATGATATAAATAACTAAAACTTAACAAGATTATCGACTCTACCTCGAGGAAGTATTTTGCTCCTTTCATGACATAATTATTTTGTCGTAATGCCCCCACCTCAAACAGACCACTGCTGAATTTTTTCAGGGTGTCTTCAAGTCCGGAATTTCCGGAAATAATACTGATTTTTTAAGGACGGTCCGGGAGTATTGAAAAAGTGCGGAAATTCCCCAACAAGGGCCGGAATTTTTAATTTTTGTCATTTTTGTCGCACAATTTGAGCTAGAAATTAAATTTTTTCGAATTTCGTCAAATATTTGGAGGTACTGAAAAAGTACTGAATTTTTCAGTTAAGGAGGTACTGAATTTCTCGGGAATGTACTGAAAAAGTACTGATTCTCGGCCAGCCTGTTTAAGTAGACACCCCGTCGTTCCGTCTGTCAAGCACTCCAAACCAAAATCCAATTTTGAGAACCAAGCAGAAATAAAACGGCATAAAACATTAAAGAAAATTTGGCAACGTGGAATGTAGTTAAGCATGATTCCGGTTAAATCCGTAGGTTTATGAACGACCCCCTACCCTGGTGCGCGATGCAAATGACGTCACACGGTACCGCAGGACGTTTACTTCTAATCGTCAATATTTGGACGGCGTATAGGTTTCCGTAGCCAGAGCAGGGTAGGCCGGCGGGGAGCGGGGAAGGGGGTCGGGCGTAGTCGGGGGTTGGAAACTTAATGAGGGGATAAAGTGCTCGACCAGACACTTTAAACTAAAGCGCCGGGCCTCGAGCACGTCGGCAATTCCCGGGGGCGAAATAAAATTGCAACTCCTCCCGCCGCGAGCTAACCGATGGATGTTGCGCCTCGAAGACCAGACGTCAGCGGTGGCGGGGACATTAAAGTTCATGAAGGAGTTAACACGGTGTTTAGCTCCCGGCTCCCCCCCCCCCCCCCCCCTCGCCGCTGCTCCCGGCTCTCCCGTGAGCAAACGACTACGCGTTCCTGACCTGGATCTACGGGAACTCGGATTGCGTGTAAAGCTCCTGTCACTCGTCATTCACTTTGATCATCTTCGGTAGCTCGCTGGTGCGGTGGCACTCTTATTGATTATCGGTTCGGGTTCGTGACCCGAGGAGCGTCGTTTATTCCCCGCTTCGTACGGGTGGTGAGCGTGGTTCTTGCAGGTACTTGAAAATATTCGGGTACACTGGAAAAAAGAAAAAAAAAAAAAAGAAAAAAAACACATTGGATCTAGAGTCCAGACTCTTGAAAACATTGACAAGAAAACGGACTCTTGATTCAATCAGATTTAAGCTTAAATCAAAAGGAGATCCGCTTAAATTAAGATGCTTGGTTCTTAATTTAAGCTAGATTCTGATTGAATCAAGAGTACTTTTTCTTGTCGATGTTTTTAAGAGTCTGGACTCTACATCCAATGTGTTTTTTTCCTGTGTATCGAAGAAGACAGAAAAGAAAGAAGAAGGATAAAAGTTACCATGAAGAAGAGCAGAGGCGGATCCAGCAATTTGATAACGCCGGCTTTACTCCATTTAAACGTACGCTGAATAATCGATCCTCGACGGAGCATCTGACCCCTCCAAGAATCGACACCTTTCCATAGGTTTAAATGGAGGAAAGACTATGTTGCCAAATTGCTAGGTCTGCCAATGAGTTAGAGAGACAAAGGAGAAAGAGGATATCAAAAAGATAAAGAAAAAGGAGAAGAACGAGGATGAAGAAAAACGAGATGATCAAGATGAGGCATGTTCGCGCAGTAACGTGAATAACACATGCGATGTTTTCAAAATGAGCCTAAAATATCAATTCCCAATCGCAAAATGTAGACCAACTCGCCGATCTCGAGTTTCGGAACATATCAGAATACGCCTGCTCCCACCCTCTCCCCGTTTAATCCGAATGGAAGGAACACCGCCCTGAAATGCGGCGCGCCAATCGAGGTTCGCACATAGCCTGCCCATTTCCTCTCGTGATTGGATGAGCGACAATTTTCCGGAGCCGACCGCACTCGCGCTCGCGAGGCAACACTTGTCCAAAGTTGGAGCTTTCATGGGAACTTTCGGCCGGGCGCTTGAAAGGGGGAGGAGGAGGGGGGGAGCTCGGATCATTTGGGTTATTCCGTGTGTAGTGTGCACGGCTGCGGAGTAATTAAATTCCAAGTCGATTGGATTCGAATGAGTCTCGCAGTTTCGCGCGGTGCCCCTGCCTTCCCGCCGCCGCCTCCGCCTACACGCCCGGTAAACAGCGATTACTCTCGGACAGGGAGCGGGAACGCCCGCCAAGTGGTGCGTCACAGTGACCAAATAATGGGCTCCCACCAGGGTAAATCGTCCTCCTCGCAAACAGACACCCCCCCCCTCCTTCTAAACCAATGATCGGAGGAAAGAAGAAGAAAAAGAAGAGGAAGGAAGATAAGGAAAGAAGGAGAAGATAAAGATAAAATGTAAGATCTTGATAGGCAAAATTTTTCTACGGAAACGTGTGTTTCCTTGAAAATTTTAAAACCACCTAGTGCGACACACATACCCTTTCTCATGTCTATGAGAACACACAAAAAAGATTAATATTTCCAAATTGCATTGAATTTTTACCAAGTGAGTCTTGGGCATTTCTGAAAGAAAATTTCACTGATTTCCCCTTTGATCTCGTGCAAAAATCGGAAAAATTTTGGACAAAAACTGTGCAATAAATGCGTATTCATATAAAAAGTTGAATAGCTAAACTTTTTTTCAAGCAAAAACATGTTCCATTTCAAGAGAATTTGCGCTAACAATTTGCCAGGAAAGAATTTCTTTGCGAATTCATGCGTAACTGCAGAAAGTGGAAAAATCAAGGACTTTACCATTCAGAACCCTGACAAATCAGGGACAAATTTTGAAATCGAAAAAACTCGTCACCCTGTTTCAAATTTCCATACAAAAATTCCCCGAAAGAGAGAAGAAAGCAAGGGATGAAAACGAAACCGAATGTTCAAGGGACCATTGTGGGATTCAGTATTTTTCAGGGTCGAGCGAGGATTGAGATCCAACAACTTCTCTCTTTACTCCTTCCGCAGTCCACGTGGGCTTCCTTCCACCCTTTCGAGTCTCGCAGCAACTCGCGGGTACAACAGAAGGGAACTCCCGGCACGGGATCACATTCATGTATGGCTTTGTAAGAGCGTTTTCAGGCGAATGCCCCCGAATTGGTTTGCGTCTGGGACGACTGAATCCCGGCGCAAAGCCGATCGCTGGTCGGCTCCGTTATTCTCCCTTCCTACGTAAAAACGCCGTATGAACAATCATACGGTGCCAAATGGGCCTGTTGCAAACTTTTGCTAGAGCAGAATGAAGAGTTGTTTCCTATAGATGATGCCTCAAAAATCACGATGAGTGCATCGGCAAAGTCTGAAATGCACTCATAAATTCACAATCTGCGTAAGAAATTTGCGTTATTTTGAGCTTCCCGCTTCAAAAACGATACTACTGCACAGGTGAACATTTTGTTAGATGAGTCCCTCCATTGTCGGCAATATTCATAATGGCCGACGCTTGCGCAGTTCCGCGAGTAATTCAAGGAGAGTTCAAGATCAATTAAGGCGGGCGAGGAAAATATAAACGTAAACACGCCGATTGTTATCTGGTTTAATCCTGTTCAGATGTTATCTCGTCCCATCACAGGTGTTTCGGCGGACTGGCGTCGGCCATGATGAGTATTGCCGCCAATGGAACGACTCCTCTAACAAAATGTTCACCTGTACCGTAGTATCGTTTTCGAAGCGGGAAGCTCAAAAAACCGCAAATTTCTTGGGCAGATTGTGAAGTTATGAGTGCATTTCAGACTTTGCCGATGCGCTCATAGTGATTTTTGAAGCATTATCTGTAAGGAACAACTCTTAGTTTTGCTCTAGCAAAAGTTTGCAACAGGCCCATTTCCTGCATTTTAAAGTTTTAGCCTTTACGGATGAAATCCTGTGAAAAATTGCGGAGTTTTTTTTGGTACAAGGGAGTAAAGCCGCTTACGTTCTTTCTGCACAGTGTTAAAAACACACCCGGAGAGAAATTCGGTGTATCTCTCTGCGGAGTCTCTATAGCGCCTAAAAGGGCTCAAGCTATACTGCCGTGCTAAAGAAGAACGCCGTATGAACATTCGACAGTCACCAAATTTCCTACGATAAAATGTTTATTTTTTAGGAAAGTTATGAATATTTTTCCTTGACATTTTCAGAATCTTTAGGGTCCTCCTCTGGATACAACTATTCTTGCTCCACGATTGTCCGGATTGCATACACAAATTATTGAAGGCGCACTGGCTTTCTTGTAGCTCTCTTGAACGCACGACACTGTGTTGGCGGCGGCCGCGCCGTGCTAAATTAGTGTAGACTTCTGGATGCAACTATTCGCGCTTCTTGATTGTTTGGATTGCATACACGAAGTATTGAAGGCGCACTGAGTTTCCACAGGTTCTCTCGTAGGTGTGTTGCAACGCGATGCGTGCCACATGCCAAATCGCGATAGATAACAGGATGCAACTATTCGTGTTTTACAATTGCCCATATTGCATAGCAAAATATTGAAGGCGCTCTGACTTCCTGCACGTTCCTCGCTACAGCACTCCTTGGCGCTCGACGAAAGCTAACTGCGAATGTCCCCCATTGAACCACGATCCCTCGAGGACCGAACACCTTGACATTCTTGTTTCGATTTCCTCCCTCCACCCTCGCATTTTATGCTCTCTGCGCTCACTCCCTCTAAGGGGAACCCAATCCAGGACCTTCTTCGGCAACTTGTCTCTTCAGTACCTCAGTTCAAAAGATAAAATTAACAAGCTTTATAAAAATCTCGCGTTTATCGGAGGGAATTTGGCAAGAATAACTTGAATGCTCTTACGGCGTTTTTCCTCAGGACAGGAGTATTGTTGGGGTGAGGGTCGTCGGAGGCGGGATGGCAATGGACTGGCGAAGCACTAAAGGGTTTCTGGTTTGCCGATCGGGACATCATTGCCAGGTAGTGCTAAAAAATCACCACTTTTCCTCGTTTACACCCGTATAAAATATTCACGATCGGCAACTTTGGATCGGGGGTCTGGCTCCTCTCCACCCATGCATACGATCACGCGTATTTCTGCCGGACTCAGGACTTTGGCTCGTAGCGGGGACCAACTTCTACCTCTCCCGGATCACCCTCGTCGTCGTTCTTCATGCGTAAGAGCGTATCTCTATTCCTACATGAGCCCTGAAAAGTATAGGGTTATACGGAGGAGAAGACTCACCTGGAAACCGGGATACGCCCTTATGTTAGAGGAGCAACGTCGTGTGCGGGTCGTCGCGTTTGGGAGCCAGCTTTCAACTTGGCGTCTTGCCAAGTTTCCCCCGAAGGGTCGTATTCTTAGTCGCCTTTCGAACAGCTCCTTTTACCTGTGAGGTCCCATACTGCCGTGGTAAGGAAAAACGCCGTATGAGCGTTCAGGCATTGCCATATTTCCTTCAATAACAAATAAACTTATTGGGAAAGTTCAGAATATTTTGCCTCCAATTTTTCAGACAATTCAGTTCCCATTTAATCAAAATTATCCGAAAATTCCAAGGAATAATATGCATAACTTTCTTCAAATATGCATGTTCTATTCGGGGAAATTCGACAACTCTAGAATGTTCATACGGCGTTCTTCCTTCACTGGAAAAAAAACACATTGGATCTAGAGTCCAGACTCTTGAAAACATTGACAAGTATAAATGGACTGCATTTTGCAATTTGGAACTATAAATTCTGGTCCGGTTTAAAAACAACGTATGTGCCATTACTTTCCCTATGCACATACGTGTTTTTTCAGATGAGCCAGACTTTATAGTTCCAAATTGCAAAATGCAATCCAAATAGTCTTGATTCAATCGGATTTTTGCTTGAATCAATACAAAATCTGCTTAAATTGAGAGGCTTGGTTCTTGATTGAAGCTAGATTCTGATTGAATCAAGAGTACTTTTTCTTGTCGATGTTTTTAAGAGTCTGGACTCCAGATCCAATGTGTTTTTTTTTCCAGTGTTAGCATGGCAGCATACGGTTTACATTTTGATTAGGGGAGCATTTAAGGAGATCCTTTAGATAGCATCGTGAACTATTTAGCTGAGAGCAATTTTTAGCTTTTGTAGTTTAAACGTCAGTGAATTTCTGAGTTTGCCACAAATCAACTGAAAGCAGATCGATAAATGAATAGCCTTCAACGGGAGGAAACAAAATTAAATTTGGAATGTACTCCCAAAAGGGGGAAGAAGGGGAACACCGGTAAAAGGGTGGCGACAGGGGTTTTTAGATGAAATGAGGGAGTGCCAACTCTTTGAAGAGCTTTGGGAGGATAGGGAACTTAGGCGACTGGGTGTCGCAAAGCGCCAAAGAGCGCCGTGAAAGTGGCTTTTATGTGTGTATGTATTTACCCACACAAAACTAGCTTTAGGTGCTTTAGTCCGTACCTTGTCTAGTAAGTGTTCTATTGCGTTGGTCGTAGAATTTCATTTTGATGGTTGAGTCACTACCCCTATAATCCTCTCCTCGTGTTCCTGCGCCACAGGTGCGTTACAGAAGGCACGGGAGCATGAACAAACGTAAAAAATGCGTTACTGGAATCTCGAACGCCCAATAAGTTCGTGCTGTTCACACCCCGTACAAAAGGACAACTCCCATAAAGAACTGTGTTTTCATTGCTAGTTCATAATTTCAGGACTGTTTATATTCCGAGCCTGAAAACTATCTATTCCCCTGTCGTTCTATCAACAGTTCGTCAGAAAATTTTGCAACTGTGACTGAGGGCGCATTATCGGGGCAGATGTTGACATAGCAGCCTTAGAAATGTCCGTGGGTCTGCACTTGCGTTTGCAGCCCGTTTGGCGCTTCGGTTTACTTTCCTTGGATCCCGTTCATTCCCGCTTTTCCATTCCCATCCATCCCGGCCACGGACCCAAACCGCAATATTTATCCAGGTTTAGCGTCCTGGCCGGATTAGCGGTTCTTTCTCTTCCCTTCTCATTTTCATTCGGACTCGACTCCCTTTAGACTCCGGGCTGAAGGTAAGCCTACCAAGTGACCCTAAAATGGAGGGAGTAGGTTATCGTAACCCTTTTTGGTGCCTCGGCCATCTCACAATCAAGGGTAGAACCAATGTAAAAGCCAGGGGATCCAGGGGGTAGGTACCTTACTTCCATGAAAGGCAAGTGTTTCAATTGAACCACCGTTCAACCAAATTTTCAGGAATTTATCCCTGTAAATGACAAAATTGTGATGAATTTACACAATTCACTCATACAGAATTTGGACTTGTAGTTATGTTGGTTTATTTTGGTTTGAACCGTCGAGAATGAATAATTATGCAATTTTCGCAAATCAATATGTCTAATATAGCAAGAATGGCGTAGCCACTATATCAATATGTTGTCTGTATAAGTTCTGTTATCCGTTCTGACCCCTGTTGATTGTATTGTTGCAGTGTTCATCCAACAAAGAAGAAACAAGTTCTGAAGCTTTTGGACCAGGGTCGCCTCGAAATCACAACCGGAGGATGGGTCATGGTTGATGAAGCTACCTCACATGTTTTCGCCATGGTCGATCAACTCATAGAAGGTAACTTTAAGCCAAATCTAATTGTAACTAGAGAGGAAGAGAGAGTTGTCTGGATGAAGTGAAAATCTTAACACCAGAGAGAACGAGTCAAAGATTCTCCTTTTAACCTTGATTTTACACCAATAAAATTGTTTTTTTTACATCAGCCAGTTGGTGCTAGACATCATCTCACACTTTGGCGCCAACTGTATAGGTCGTGTAATGCACCAATTTAAGTGGTGTCAAACACCAGCTTGGTCAGTGCCAGTGCCAGTACCAGTATACATGGCCAACTGGGTTTGCTGATTTAAAATCAGGCGTAACATTGTTTTTCAGTGAAGCAGAGGGAGATGTATTGGACTTACTTTACAGTCAGAAACTGCTATTTTTAGCTCATTAAAAAACACCCATCTGCACAAGGTAACGAACGGCACATATGTTGTTTTCATATAGTTGTTCCTTATTGTAAAATGTAATAAAAAATTCAGAATATAATGATCCACCCGTGGTGACAAGAATGGGAATCGTACAATTTCTGACTTTAGCCGGATTGCGAAAGCAAGACGTATTTTGTAATAGTCAAGTTTATCATTTCGGCAGGGCGCGAGGTTTGGTAATTTTCCAATCCATCAGCACTGCGCGGCATTTTTAAGGAGCAAGTCAAAAAACAGATGAAAGCTCTGATATGTATCCGAAAAATACCCACATAAGAAGATTCAAAGCGGTCATTAACACTCCCAAGCTGGCCCCTACAAAACTGACAATGAGCACTCACGTCTGAAATGAAAAGCGGGGCTAGTAGCTTTTCAAAACCGGCAGTGACTGCTCACCACGTTAATAGAACCACCTTGCGTTGATTTAAAGAGGTTTTCTCTTTGCGCATTCGCTCGCTCGTGAAATAAGTGGGAGCCCACAAAATTAATTTGACTTGAAAAATGGACGCGAAGGTTTTGAAATGCGTTTCTTCAACCAACTCTGAGTTGGAGTTCATGCTAGTCTGTTGGCTGGCTTGCTGATTCTTTTGGGATGTTGCGATCATCACTGTTTCTCTTCCATTTAAATTTATGTAATAAGCACAAAAATAACAGAAAAGTTTACGAAGAACTTAGTCTGAAATAATGTATCATAGAAAGCAATCAAAACATGTTTATGTTTAGTTGACATCAGTGACGTTTATACTGTTTACGATGTTTCACTTGTTACGTACACAGGGCCCTACGGGATAAAATCAGTAACTTTCCAGCTGCTTTTACCTGTGATTATCTGATATTTGGTTCATTTCCAATAAATTTAGCAACTAGGAACCCTGCATTGAAAAAGTACTCATTAATTTTTTGCACCCTTTCATGGCCATGAAAAACTCCTTGAGTGCTCCGTGCGACCCTCTTAGACGTTGATGTTTCTTGCCGCACACCCGTGCTCTTGCTCCCCTCCCCCTCTTTCTCACCCCATCTCTCTTGCCATCTCACCAACGATAGAATGAACTCCTTTTTCCAAAAGGAAATAATTTTTCAGTGTCATCAACAGCATCTTGGGACCGCGTTTAGTAGATCGTAAGTGGTGGAACTGCTCGGTAGCGTAAATTTTAAGCTACACTTGTCCCGTCTGTTAAAAACAATTAAAAGCACGTTTAAGCTTGTTTTTTTCAAAGTAAGGGGTTCAAAAACCAAGCGTTGTATTCATAATCGTCTCTTAAATTACCTCTTTCTTTAATAAGGCCCCATTTAGTTTGCATCGTGATTGAAAAGGCCCTTAAAAGGATAATTTTTACGAGCCTCCAGAAAAATTTGACAGACATGGATTTAGATCCTCGCAAGGGACTCCAATGATTTGACACTCTAAAAAATAGGAGACAATGAAAAATTCTATGATTTTGACAAATTCTAAGGTAGGACCGGACCCTCCGGAAAATTTTCAAAGTTTGTATTATTTTTTCTCTTGCATTCTACTCTTTTTGTAGTGACCAAATATCGCGATCTCTCGCAAAGAGCTTTTTTTAAAGTTTTACGGTCAAACTTCACTGGAGATTCGGAAAAATTGTGCCCTACATGATGCTATATTAATGGCCTCTTCGAACGATGTAAACCATACGAAGCCCTCTGGAGGAAAGAAACGGCTTTGAGTGCGACCAAGTTGGAAAATTGCATAACGATGATGAGCCACGGTACATCAGTTACTCGGTTTGAGATTTTGCATATTTTGGTCATTTTTTCTGTTTTGGAAGATTACGATTCTACATGTATGAATTTTAAGTGATCTTTCTTCGCTCTCCTGACATTATTCACCAAAAGTGTCTTTAAATGCCTCGTGATGTTTCCTAAAACAAAATAGGCGCGAATATTTCGTAACATTCCAATTGAGATACGTGCTTTTTTAGTTACGTCGACGATTAGTAAAGATCTTGGGACCAGCAAAGACACGCACAGTTGAATTTGATGCGTGAAAAGCATAAAAACAAATGGAATTCGGGGAAAACCATCAATATTACAGGAGAGATAATCTCCTCACAGAATTACTATTAAAACCCTCAAATTTTGACAGACCGATTTGTTTTTCGCTGAAATCTGTCTTTACTTTCTCCTTGCAAACTCAGTAAAACCCAAGAAAAAACAAAGAGAGAATCGGCAATTTTGAAAATACCTACCACGAACCCTGTAAAGTCCATTCCTAAAAGGTCCATCTTCCACGCACCTACCATCCGAACTTACCCGTACGGCTATGAAAACCACCCTCGCACCTCATTAAGCACTTTGTTTTTAAAGTTTAAACCTGCTTTGATCGCTTCAAGTGAGCGCTGTCTATGCGAAACATTTATGAGGGGTAACCTCGGTCACCCCACACCCTATCCACCCTACCGCCGTGCTCTTCCTCTCTCTCCCCCCGCGAGGGTTTTTTCTTCTTTTTTTCTCTTATCTACGTGACATTTTTGTCCTTAAGCTTGGAAACTAATAAAAGGCCAAAACGCTCTTTTGTTGCTGTTTATAGTCTGAAATGAACTCCCNTTCACGATTCCGGGCGGCCACCCCAACCCCTCGGGAGGGCTCCCGGAGCTATCTCTTCTTTTTCTCTTCGGGCTTCTCTCATCTCGCTCTGGGATCTTGAACTTTTCCGGTTATTGTCTTCTCCGATGTTGCGAAATTTTCGCGGAAAATGTGAATCGTGAACAGAGACAATCTCAGAGACGCTGTAAACGTCGCATTCGGAAGTCAACGCTCAAATTTGCCTAATGGACCACTAGACAAGGTACGAATTTAAGCATTCTGATATATGTTTCTTAGTCAGAATTTTACGTAGAGCACGATTCGCACGATTCGCACAACGAAAATTACTTAAATCAACTCCTAACGAAGATATTCACGTTTTTATTCCACTTTGGTTACGAGGAATTTGAACTGCACGCTCACAAGAAACTCAAAGCTCTATACGTGAATCAAATCGCGCACTACAATGGTTTCAGCAAGCTTCTCAATCGAGCAATGTTCATGTCCCACCATGTGTTGTTCAAACTGTAAGCAATTTGCTATAGCTGAGCCAAAGCGTCAAGATTGAGGTTGCCAGATTTGTATATCGTAGAGACTGTCATGAATACGTTTAGCGCGCGATGTGAATCACGTAAAGCATTGAGTTTTCATGAGCGGGTGGTTTAAATTCACGCATCAAGAATCATTAAATATCTTCGTAAGGAGTTAATTTCGGCAATTTTCGTTGTGTGCATCGTGTTTAACGTAAAATTTTGGTTAGGAAACATGTATCAGATTGCTTAAATTCGTAGCTTGTTTAGTGGTCCATTACGCCTGATGATCAAAGAGTTGAGTAATGGGCCTGTTGCAAACTTCAGGTAGAGCGAAAAGAAGAGCTGTTTTTTTTAGAAGATGGTTCTAAAATAACGATGAGTGCATCGAAAAGTCAGATATAAACTCCGAACTTCTTAATCTGCGTAAGGAATATGCGTTTTTGACGCTTTTGGTTTCAAAAACGATATTGCGGTACAGGTGAACATCTCGTAAAAGGAGTCGCTCCATCCAACCCTTGCGCATCAGGATGTTACACAATATTCAAAATGGCTGACGCCTCTGCGCGCAAAACGTGAGGAAGCACCATGGCTTTATCAACGCAAAGAAAATGTAATTATAAACACGCCGGTTGATAAAATGTCGCCTCGTTGCGTGTATAGTGGCGGTTTGGCGTCGGCCATGTTGAATATTTCGTGGCATCCTAGTCCTAGTGCGCAAGTGATGGATGGAACGACTCCTCTAACGGAATGTTCACCCGTGCCCGTTCGTTGGAGCAGGAATCTTTAAATTCGCATAGCTATCAAAGTGTATGCCCCGACACACATCAGTCATTATTCGGCGAATTTTATGTGATGTTACTTTCAGCAAATTGTATGTATGAATCAACATCTAGCAATTGGCGTTGACCTCCTAACTTAACTCATACCTCACCCGATTAAATTCATTAGTTTAAGTCAACATCAAGAAATTGGCGTTGACCTCCTAACTTAACTCATACCTTACCCGATTAAATTTTTTAGTTTAAATCAACATCAAGAAATTGGCGTTGACCTCCACCACCCTCCTGGCGTTAACTCATACCTCACCCGATTAAATTCTTTAGTTTGCCGTTGCGGAGTTTCAAGATATATCGTCTCGCATCCTACCGAAATCGAAATTTCATTTCCAGTGGCATGGCGTGCTTTGCGATGCATCGATTGATCCTCCATTAAATCCTATGGAAAGGATCGATGAACAGGGTGTTCGCAACGAACATTTAACAATCGATTATTTACCAAAGCTTCTAAAGGGAAAATATCGAAAATCGATCGCTCACCCTCGTCACTGTTCATCTCGCAACCCCGGGCTCACCCCCACGGTCGGATGAGGTTATGAGAGATAAAGACGCGCTATGGAGAGAAATTCCAGTACATCTTCCTGCCTCTCGTCAACTTGCGCGATAAAGGTTCTTTTTTCGGTTTNGGGGGGGGGGGCAACTCAATGAATCCACCTCCGCCGCGGCGCGTC